CTGTTGCGTACTGACTTCGTTTTTACCCTTGAATGATTTTTTTCATTGAGTTTTAACTCGTGTATTTATTTGAGAAGTAAAATTTATCATTTAATTTGACTTTTTATAACAATAGTAAAGTCAACAGGATGATCCGTTAACTTGAGTCCAAGCCATTCCTATTTTTCTTTCGGGATCATTTGCGGTTGACTTCAGCGATCACTTGCGGTCAAGGATCATTTGCGGTCCATTTTGGAGATCATTTGTAGTCTCGTTATCATTACTGGGGTCAAAGTACCTGTCTATTTTGGAAACAAAATGATCCAACCGAGGATCTTTTGTAGTACACCTTAGGTGTTTGTGCTTCAACATTGTTTCAGTGCTGTTACCGACTAACAATACACAGCACAGATGCTTCAATGCCTGCTTTCCTAGCAGTGGTGGTAGCCATGCGGTACTGATCCATGCAGTATTTTTCGATTTCTCCCCTGAAATCTTGTACCTCATTTTTAATTTCGTCAGTGTGTTTTACGCCCGGAACACATTGGTGTCTCTCTTCTTTAGCTGGATACTTAGTGGCTTCAATACTGAAAGACACTTCATCTGGTAACCTGGGTGGTGATAAATTCGAAATTGGACACTGTGTGTAATAAGTGGTTCGCCTTGCTTTTGCTATCAGTAGCCCAGTTCCACGCATTTTCCCCAAATAGAGACAGCCGTTCAATTGAAATGTCGCTCTAGTGCTCTTAGAATTGACAGAACAAGTACAAAGAAAACTTCATGTGCTTCATGCCTTTCAACCCAATAAGCTAAGCAATGTTGTATTGTCTCTCAATAAGGGCTAACAGAAGATTGTTACACTTTGGGGAATACTTAAAAAATGGAATACTTCATTGAATTTTCCCACCATGTTTCTTATAAGTGAATGATTGCAAGGATTAGACTTTGAGTGCTGCAGCGTGCATACACAGCCTTTGGACTTTTCTCCTGGATTAGTGCTTGTGCACTGTGCCTAGGTGATGACATGTTGTGGATGCATTGTCGTAGCATTGCCCCCCCCCCCAGAAGTTTTTCATGTCTAAATTCCATTGCGGTAAGTTTTGACCTATTGAGCTTGTGATTGCTTCCCCTGTTATCCACTCCAGATTTTTAAATCCTAATTCTGCTCCGGAATATTTCCATCTCTGTGAACAAAACTTATAGCAAGTGACAACTGTTCTCTGTTTGACACGTCAATTACTTCATTATCGAGTATTGAAAAATGTGGAGCCTCAGATGGGATTTGCTCTGCTATGCTCTCTCATTATTGCACTTCTATACTTATTAACTCATTTTGTATAGTTGGAGAGGTATACTTCACCCAATTTGAAGCCTGGCTTATATGATTGGCGAGTCTTCGTCACCTGCATAAGCCCTAGATTAAAGTAATGTAAAAAAAATTGCTTGGATTGTTTCCATTATCCTTTGGAGACTCTACATGGCCTCAAGGGCAATATTCTGCCACCCACAATGCGTTAAACATGAAATGATACTGTGCAACTGCTTCTGTTTTTTTCGCCATCAGGGCCGAACTTTCAGCATCGATAACTAAGCTTATTGCCTTCTGGGGCTCCTGCATGATCTTGATGAAATTTTTCGCCTTAACTGATGCAGCGATGTGCTAGGCCTTCTTGTTGTGTCCTTTAAGGATGCCTCTTGCTTTGTTGAAGTATTTCATTGCTGAGTTTGAAGTGTTCTCCGAGAAGACACAACATACACTCAAGGTGGCGGATGCAAATGAACACACTTTATTTCAGTAGGCATGCGCTAAATATAACTGCTGACCTGATGCTACATTCCCCCTATTTTTTAAGAAACAAAGAAAACTGAAATTACTGAATGTAACAATAAAAATAAGAAACGAAAAAAAGAAACACGAGACAATGCTGCAACGAGAGGAATGTGTCCTTTCCTGAAAACTGAAAACAGAAAGCTTAAAGTGTATATGACAGAAATTTTTTTATTTGCTTGATAGAATCTATACAGTGTTTTGATAAGGAAAGCAAAAAAAATTTTTCGATTGCGATTTTTCTTCCCCGTGTTTTAACCTGCCAAAAACGTGAAATTTTACTTCCGGTGAGCTACAAAACCGCGCTAGCGAAAACAGAAGACTGGGAATGATTATGACGTCATTTCAGGACAATCTATTTCGCGGCAGGCAAATTACATGGTCATTTTCTTATTTGTGTGGCAGTGTTTGGAGAGTATTTTTTGAGTTTCCCTGACCTTTTTTGATCAGAAACAGCAGAAATCAATAAAAAGTCGCTTAAGCTCGAATTTAATGGACTGTGAAAAATAATAATGAGTTTTGAAAGCGGTACGGAACAGTCAGACGTGGAATTGATCGGGTCACGCACTCACATCTGCAAGACAGAGCTAGGATCAGACAAAGATGAAGAAGATATGTAATATCCGGAAACCGGTCGTTTCGCCTACAAGTCGTTTCGCCTACAAGTCGTTTCACCTACACTCTAGTTGATTC